TATAAAAATTGTGTTTCTGTCCATATTATGTTTTTGTAAAGAGCATTTCATTATGACATTGGGAGGGGACCAAAAAAATTTTTATATTATCAACATATGAATTAATTGAACTGTTTTGTTTCATGTTGTCCCCTGGCTTCAGTTCTTCAGATATCAACACCATATCATAAACGGTCAAATAAATTTTGTCTCACTTTATTATGAGAGAATATAATATCTATTTTAGAAACAAGAGGCAGATCACTAGGAATTTATCACTAGATTTCCGTTTGTCTCATGTTTGTTAAATGGTTGTGCAAACCAAACAACATTTATCAATGAGGATAACAAATACTGGTCTTGATATAGGTCACCATTTTATGGCTGCTATTCACATACACACACATCACAAATTCTGCTTAACCCATTGTATATATAAATATATATAAATATAAATATATATAATATTTATTAATGTTTCTTAAAGTTTAAAACTGTAGCCAACTTCTTTTAAATATACGGGCAAAATAAGACAACCTCAATTTACTCCGATGAATTAGGTGTGTAAAAAAATAAAGAATTTAAAGTCCGAGTGATTTCGTCTCCATTGAGTTATTCAAGGATGTTTACTAGTTTTGTTTTTAACTAACCTCTAGTATGACATAATATGTGTGTAAAAATTATTTTTTTTTTTTCTCTCCACCGGTTCTTCAAACACCATCACAAACTTGTTGGCTGTTTTCATACTTGTGACAACCCATTTATATTTTTTTCTTTTTTGATTATTAATTTCTCCTACTTCCCAAAAACATTTTTTACATCCAAGGGAGAAAACCTTACATCAAACACTATATATAACAGTAAAACAACATAATTGAATATAAATGTTTTTGTTTGTTTTGTTTTCCGTGATATAATTTGTTTGTTTTTTTTCCGAATATATTTTTCTTCATAAATGTTTTCATCTATATATATATTTGCTTACATATATATATATATATATATATATATATATAAATATTCATATAATATAAGATTTGTTCTGAAGATTTATTCACACCATAGATGCATCTATAGATTGATAGATGAAAAATATTGTGATGTATGGTAATTTGGTTTGTTATTCGTTAAACGATAATGTTTTTTTAGATATTAAAATAAAAAAAAAAAAAAAAAAAAAATAAGCATTAACAGACTGACTGCAATCGATTGACCTGTTTTCATATATATATATAATAATAAATTGATATATTTATATATATATATATAGATTATAGAACCATTGTATATTTGTTCCAACTTGTTTATAATAGTGCATATTTTAAATTATATGGGGCTAAATATGATTTTGAATTATAACATGGATTTTTAAAAATGGTTATTAACCATATTTAGAAAAGCATATTTTTTGCTCTACTATTTAATCTCCCCGATATTCTTCAGGGAAAAAGATAGATATTTCCATATATTCCAATGAAAAAAGAAATTTCCTATAATTTTTTATGTTTAAATTGTCCTTTTGTTTAGTAATAATCCCAATGTTTATCTTGGATGTAAAATCATACATCCAGATATATATATATATATATATATATATATATATATATATATAAATAAGATATGAAAATGTTTTGTGTCTATTTTTATTTCTGGTTATTTGAATAAACATATTCCGATTAAAAACTTATAAAGTGATAAATAAGTTTAAAAAATGGAATCAAACTAAAGGAGAGAGTTTGTTTGTTTGCAAAATAGTAATTGAAAGATATATAAAATAAAAGTTTATCATTGTGGGCTAAATTGATTTTAAAGTCAAGATTGGCTATAGAATTATAGGTCACCTATATATAAAGTCCTTTATAAGTGATGCCTGTTGTTTTTATGTTTTAGTAAATATTTTATATATATAGCTATGTAAATTTTAAATATTTAAAACCAATGGCATTTCAGTTTGAAATGTTTGATCAAAAGCTTTATAAATTTACAGCTTAAATGGATTGGTAACTTGAGTAAAATTGTTCAGTTCGTCAATCTCCTGAACATTATGCTGTTTATAACTCCAGCAACGTCGTGAAAAATTCTCAACTAGAATAACAAAATTCAGGAAAATAGAAACTTATATTATTAGCATATCAAAGATTTTGTCAAAAAAAATTTGTTATTGTAAATACATATAGATGATAGATATGATAGATAGATTGTCAGATATGTAAGTAGATAGAAGATCTCCTGGTTGAAAATAAACTTTAGAATCATTAAATGGATGATATCCGAAATGGAATATATATATATAAATATTTTTTTTTTTTATATGTGATTATTAAGAAAATTTTTCGTTCCAATTTTTTTTTTTTTTTAACTGATTTCTAAAAATCAATTTCAGCAAAAGGATTTTGTGACAAATAAAGTTTGTTTCACTGAAATAATCTCAACTTTATCAAATAAATTTTAATTAACCCAACTTTTGAAAAAGTTAAAATAGAATCTGGAATTCACATTTGCTATTAAATATCCAAGATATATAGATATATTTGAAAAAGAAAAAAAAAAAAAAAATAAAAGTTTTAGTAGAGAGAACATTATCTCACAAACAGATAATTGCAGTTTTTACCTTTATTTAAAAATAGTTTTGAAGAAAAGATTAAATTAAAATGAAAGTTTTAAGCTTATACAACCATAAAACCCACAAAAATAAAAGACAAAAACATACATATTTAAATATATCCAGAACACAAATTAAAATATATATATATAAATTGTATCAAAATGTTAATATTAATGTTTTGTAAATTATGTATAATTATTTTTTTAAATTCTTCATCGAGATGGTAATCAAATTATGTTTGATCTAGATAGATAAATAACAGAATTTTCAAAACCTGATGCTAAAAGCTGATTTAAAAAAAAAAAAATAAAAAAAAAAATCAAAAAAAAAAAAAAAAAAAAAAAAATCAAAGTTTTTGCATTATTTGGATAATTAGAATTGTATTATGACCCAAGACTTGAAAGAATATTCAGCCTTTTTTTATTAATTACTTTCATCTTGGGGCGTTTTATAAATAATCTGAGATTAACAAAGATAGATAATACATTATGGCTTTAAAAAAACACATATTCTAAAAAGGTATAATACATGAAAACATAAATAAAAAAAGTGGATAGATAGATTGATAAGAAAATATATTACATATTTTTAAAATGGTTTTTTCAAAATATATAATAAAGAAATAAATAGATGAAAAAATGTATAACTGACTATTGAAAATTTATATAGATAGATATAAATAAATACTAGATAGACAGACTAAAAAAGGGATAAGAAAATAGATAGATAATCAGATGAAAACAAATAGATGAATAAACGTTAGGAGAGAAGCCATTCATTCAGCTTACAGAGGGGGAGCTGTTGTCAAAATATATATGGTCTCAAGAAAAATTATATAAAGTATATATATATATTCATATATATATATATTATATTTATATATTTATTTAATATATATTTAAGATATATTAAAATACTGAAATTTTATAACAAATCCTTTTATAGATAGGCTCCAAAGGATACCTAACATTGTCTTTCCTAAAGTTTGCTTTGAAAATCTGTTTAAAATTTTTAAAAATTTTTTAAATCAATTTCATTTTAAAACAGTAATTTTAATTTTTTTTTCTTTTTATTTTTTTTGGGATACATAAACAATAATTTTAAAAAACAACTGAATAAATACAAATTTTTGTAGAATCAAATTTTATTTTCTTTCTTTTTTTATGTATTTGAGTTTTATTTTCTTTTTTTGTGGTGGTGTTGTTGATATTACGTTGTTTGTCTCCATTTTTTCTTTTATATATTCTTTTTATTTTTTAAGGTTTTTTCTTTCTTTCTTTGGCATTCTTTCTTTCTTTAGAAATTAATTTTCTTTTTTAATCATGTTTCATTATCATGTGTAATCTCTTTCTCTTTTCTCCCATTTCTTTCTCTCTATGTATCAGTGTATCTATCTTTATAATGACTCTCTCTCTTTCTTCTTGATTCTTTCCTGACGTCTTTCTCTCAGTCGTTACTCCATTTTCATCCATGTTTTTGATCTTAATTAAGAATCGTCATATGATGACATTTTTTTTTTTTTTTAACAGGCACCTTTTTACCGAAATCACCTTCTTGTTTTCTTTTTTGTTTGTTTGTTTGTTTTTGTTTCTTTCTTCTTTTTCTTTTTGTCTTTTTTTGTTTTAAAGATGAAAATGAAAATAACATTATTTTATCATATGAAAATCATCGTTTTGAAGAACAAGAACGATCATTTTTTTGATTTTTTTTTTTAAAAAAAAAGAAAAAAAAGAATAGAACTATTTCATTTTAATTAATTAGCAAACGAAATTTTACCTCCAGTGACTTTAACAACATGGCATAAAGCTAAATAAACATATCTTCCGTTGTTTAAAAACAAGCACTGGGCGTTTGTGTGTGTGTGTGTGTGTGTTGTCTGGACATGTGTGTGTGCGTGCGTGTGTGTGTGACCCAGAGGATAAAGAGAATTGTTTCAGATTATATCCGACAATATCACATTTAGACAGTATCCTTTTTAAAGTACAAAAAAAAGTCGTCCTTGTAATTGGAACGATAAGTAATGTTTCATATTTCCTTTTTTCCTACTTAAATGGCACCATCCTAAATAAGCAACATACACACACACACACACACACACACACACACACATATATATATATATATTGATGGTTAATGAATGTAATTAATTAGTGTTTTAGTTACTGTTATTCGAATGTTCGTAGAAAAAATACCTTGTTACGATTTGAGTCTACCGACATCAGGGTGGTACAGTTCCATTTTAACAGAAAAAAGCAAGTATTTTTTTTATAAAAAAAAAAAAGAAGAAAAACAGCAAAAAAAAAAAGAAACAAAAATAGACAGACAGAAATATGAGAATCGGAAAGAAAGAAGAAAAAAAAGAAAGAAGAAAAAGAGAGAAAAAGAAAGAGATGTGTTGTGTTGGTAAAGAAAAAAGTTAAATTTTGAAAGCTTGGGGGCGTTTTCGAGAGTAAGAAAAATCAGGCGAAGAGAAACCATTAAAAATGACGGACGATCCGGAAAAAAAAAAAAAAAAAAAAAAGAAGGTTGATGTGAAAGTTAGCTTCATAAGAAGAGAAAGAAAATGTGAAGTGATTGTATTTGGGATGGGGAGGGAGGGCAGAATTAATGGAAGAAATCGCAAGGAAAAGAAAGAGGGGTCCAAGATTAGTGGGGGGTTGGGGGAAACAGAACTGAATGCGAAAGTGTCAAAACCGTTATCATCCAAAATATGAAAAGTGTTTTGGCTTAAATGTGACGACAGGCTTTGCAAATAAATATGACAACTCCGCACACAAAAGCAGAATGAATGAAAAAAAGAAATATAAAACTGAATAATAACGAAAAATACAAATAGATGAGATAATAGATAATATGTAGATAGAAAATAGATAAATAGATATAAACAAAGATAAATAACAGTTGAATACTGACAGACAAACATGATAGATAGATAGATAGATAGATAGATAGATAGATAGATGTATAGATAAAATAACAAAGATAAATAGACAGACACATACTGACAGACAGACATAGATAATCATAGATAGATAGATAATTAGATGTATAGATATGAACAAAGATAAATAGACAGATTAAATAGGACAGACATAGATAGATAGATAGATAGATAGATAGATAGATAGATAGATATGATAGATAGATAGAAGAAAGATAGATAGATACAAAGATAAATAGACAGACACATGAAGACAGATAGACATAGATAGATAGATAGATAGATAGATAGATAGATAGATAGATAGATAGATAGATAGATAGATAGATATATGAACAAAGATAAATGTAGACAGACACATACTGAGATAGATGAATAGATAGATAGATAGATAGATAGATAGATAGATAGATAGATGAATGGAACAAAGATAAATAGACAGACACACATACTGACAGACAGACATAGATAGATAGATAGATAGATAGATATATAGATAGATTTGCAGATAATAGATAGATGATATAGATAAAACAAAGATAAATAGACAACACATACTGACAGACAGACATAGATAGATAGATAGATAGATAGATAGATAGATAGATAGATAGATAGATAGATAGATATGAACAAAGATAAATAGACAGACACATACTGAGATAGATAGATAGATAGATAGATAGATAGATAGATAGATAGATAGATAGATAGATAGATAGATAGATAGATATGAACAAGATAAATAGATAGATAATATACTGACATACAGACATAGATAGATAGATAGATAGATAGATAGATAGATAGATAGATAGATGTTAGATGAATATGAACAAAGATAAATAGACGGACACATATAGATAGATAGATAGATAGATAGATAGATAATAGATAGATAGATAGATAGATAGATAGATATGAACAAAGATAAATAGACAGACACATACTGATAGATAGATAGATAGATAGATAGATAGATAGATAGATAGATAGATAGATAGATATGAACAAAGATAAATAGACAGACACATACTGACAGACAGACATAGATAGATAGATAGATAGATAGATAGATAGATAGATAGATAGATAGATAGATAGATAGATATGAACAAAGATAAATAGACAAGCACATACTGAGATAGATAGATAGATAGATAGATAGATAGATAGATAATAGATAGATAGATAGATAGATAGATATACAACCAAATTACGATACATATTTACATACATAGATATAAACATATTTTTTTTTCATAAATAGATAGATAGATGATGTTTTGAGACAACAGATTATTCGATTATTAAAATATACAAAATGATTCCCTTCTGTTGCGAGAAAGTAAGTTTTGCAGTATAGATTTTACAAGTTCCCAATAATACTTATTGCACTAGGAGCTGTATTAAAGCCACGCTTCGGCAAAATGTTAATAGTCACCTGCGCCCGAATAAAGCGAAAGACCACATGAAAAGGAACAAGATTCCAAGATGCAACTATCTTCACCGCCAAGCATTAACAGACTCAAAAGATAGACTATTAGATGGATAATAATAAAAAAAATTAATTTTTGATTATCAAGAAATAGAGTTCACAGCTAATGATAAATAGATCCGATAATTGATGATATAAACCGATTTTCAGGGTCCATAGAACAAAGAATGTAATGATTTTGATAGACATGAAAATTTCCGACCGATAATTAGACAGAATGAATGGCCCCTGGATGAATGATTTATATATATATATATATATATATATATATATATATATGTAGATTGCAAAACCGATTTCGAATGACAGAATGTAAATATGATATGTAACCATATTATATAGTCATAGATATAAACGATTTCACGCGATAATTTTTTTTCAGTATGATAGATTCCGAGCGATAGATAGATAGATTATATATATTGACCGATTTATAGATATATAATATATATATATATATATATGGAACCTATTCCGAGGTCCATAGATATATACACAATTCCGATATTATATTCATTTTTACCGATTCTATATATCATCAATGTAAATTTTCTATCTATAGATATATATAATGAAAAATTTGAACGATATGGGCGATATATAAATATATATAATAAATATATTTAACGATAATAGATATATATACATTTTTCAGATATAATTTGTACAGATACTATATAACCGATTTCATTTATATATATATATATATATATTTATAGTTTAAAGATAACCAGACGCGGATAGGCGATATTTAAACTATATATAGATATCTATATAAATATATATATATATTATTTCGAAATTAGAGAGATACATGAGATAAAACATTTCGATTTCCGATTTATAGATACGACCCAATTTCTTAGAAAATTTGAACAATTTGCGTTTACATATATAAATATTTTGGAAACAATATATATCCATAAAATTTCATCATAGATAATGAAAAATTTGAAACCAATTTCCTTAAAGAAACAGAATAATAACATGAATATAGATTTGCATATACATATAAATATAAATAGTATGATTAAATAGATAATGAAAAAACATATATATATATATATATATATATATATATATATAGATAAAAGTATATACAGATATATATAGATAATGAAAATTTATTTGAATGAAAACAAACAGAAAAGATGGCATAGATCGATAATATAAACAGTTTTGATTTTGTCTTTAAAACACACATAGCTCTACAGTTTAAATGTTTATGTTAACTTCAAGAATAAGCACTGGATGAACTTGAAACGAAATAAAAACATAATAAAAAAAAAATAAAAAAGAGAAATAGATAGTCATTGAAAAAAATAATGGAATCAATTATCAAACTTATACTTTGAGAAGCTTTTGCAGCGAATGCCAAAAGTTTTTGCTGCAGTAATCAAGGAGGTTATTTTGACGAGAGCAAAATTTAATCATAAAATGTTTTTTTTTCTTTTTGTTATGATAAAATTTCTAATAAAAAATCATGTCTCACTTTTTTTGTAACCATTTGCAATAATTTTCTCTTATTTAAAGTACAAAACAACTCATTTTGGGACAATTTAAAAAATGACCAGTGTCTTGCCTCAAACTTTTTGAACTGCAGTATATATATATATATATATATATATATATATATATATATATATATATATATGTGTATGAGCAAATTTAAACAGAATAAATGAATTGTGAGATATAAAAGGATTTAAAAATATAGATAACGGAATGTTAATGGAATTATTCTATAAGAAAACAAAGTGTTTGTGTGTGAGTGTATATGTATGTAGTTTAATCTATGTGCTTTTCCGTTCTAATAAAAAAAAAAGGGTACGTTACTCCAAAAACGTTTGATATAGAAAATATATATATGGGATAATGAAAATAGATAAACACGTGATATAGGATGACCAAAGATATAGGTTTATTAATGAATTTAAATTCATCAAATCAGGATCAAACTGTGTGGGTAAATAGGAAACAAAAAATATCGTGTGTGTTTTTGTGTGTGTGTGTGTGTGTGTGTGTGTGTGTGTGTGTGTGTGTGTGTGTGGAGAAAGGAATTTACCTACAAATTGACCGACGGCCTTGAGTTGTAAATATATATATATATATATATATCTAATATATATATATATGGATATATATATATATATATATATTTATAAAGATTATTTTGGGGAAACTAAAAACAGAAAATAATTCAATTTAAAAGATAAAATGTAATTAAATTAAACAAAAAAATTTTAATAAAAAACCCTACATGATAATAATCGTCGATATTTTTGCAATAAAAAAATCAATAAATAAATCAATTGAAATTAAAAATTTAAAACAAATATACTGCTTTGTAGAATTTTGATTAGTTTGGACTTTCCTTGAGAATATGGTTCTCATCAGTTTTATGAAAAAATGTCTATGAAATGGTTACTTGAAAAAATAAAAATTGATATTAAATGTCCTGATGATTACATATTATATATATATATAATATATATATTATATATATATAATTTCATGATATAGTTATATATATATATATTTATATATATTAGAGCGATTGTGATTCCATAACAAGTGCAGTTCCCAAAAAATAGTGTTGAATATATTTATAGATATTAAAAAATATCCAAATCAATTTGAAAAAGGTAAAATTGAAATTTAATAATTTTATATAATGACATTATTTTCGTTTCTTTTTTTTCTAAAAAATTTTTTCAATAAACTTTTTTTTTTTAAATTTTCAGGTTCGTTGGGTCATAGTCTAGCAAAAAACTGTTAAATTCGTGGTCATTATGGAATATATTATAAATATTTTCGGCTTGCTAGATGGTTGGAGGACAGGAGATATGAAACGACAATCTCATCGATGTAAGCCAGCTCCTAGGACCAAATAACACGGTCTTAAAAACAGAGCATTTCAAAAAAAAGATATCTATCTGAATTTTTTTTGTTTGTTTGTTTGTTTGTTTGAGAGAATTTTTTTTTTTTTTTTTTTTTTCTGTTTAAATTTTTTTTTTCTTTTCAAAAAAGAAAAGAACTAAAGAAATGAACAGGCGGATGACAGCAGAAAAAACCAAGACGAAATTTTTTATATATATAATATTATAAATCTTATTTTCTACCTTTCCACCTCCCCGAAAAAAAAAATATATCTGATAAAGAATAAAATATTAGAATGAAAAATAATGGGAAATAATGGAGAATTATAGCGAAAAAAGAAGAAAAAAATAAATAAATAAATAAATCTTAAAGATGGTAAAAACGTTTTTTTGTTTTTATAACAGTATTAAAAAAAAAGAAAATTGTTAAAAGAAAAGAAAAGAAAAGAAAAAAAATGAAAGAAAGAAAGAAAAAAGAAAGAAAGAAAACGTTACTGTTCGTCCAAAAAAAAAAGAAATAAAGAATGCATTTCAAAAATGAAAGACGAAACCGGAAAAAAAAAAAAAAAGAACAAAAATTATCAAATAAAGAAAGATAAGGCATGGAAAGAAAAGAAAGAAAGAAATGAAAAAAGCATTTAATGAAAGAAAATTAATAGAAATGCAGAATAAAGTTGAATATTTATGAAGATGGACAGTAATCAAAGAAAAAAAAAAAAAAGAAAAGAAAAAGGAACAAAATGGAAATTTAGTAATGCATAAGCAAAAAAGAAATTTTACAAAGAAAGAATAAGAACCAAATAAAGAATGCATAGTATATGAAAAATTTAAAAAAAGAAAATAAAGCAATATTAGCAAAGAAAATTTTATTGAAAGAAAGATAAAAAATAAAAAGAATAAATAAGAAAAATTAAACCTATGAAAAGATTAATTTTCAAGAAATCAGAAAGCATAGCTGGAACGAAGAAAGAAAAAAATAGAATGATGCATAAAAAAAAACCTAAAAAAATTAATATTTTATTTTGAAAGAATTTAAAGAAAAGAAGAAATGAAATAGAAAGAAAGACAATTTTATAGCCTTGAATTGGCAAAAAAGAAAGACAAAAAAAAGAATGAAAAAATTTCATAGAAAAAGAATGAAGATGCAATATAAGGAAATAGAATATGGATATTAGGAAATGATTAATCTAACTAAACAGTGAAAAAGGTTAAAGACGCTTTATCTCGCAGTCCTGGTCAAAAAAAATGGTTGGTGTGACGGAGAAAAAAAATTAAAAAAAACTCGATATTTAACGAAAAAATACGTTTGGGAGGTGTGAATAAGACGGACGATCCTTATTTTGAAAAAAAGTCGGTCGAACCCACAAGAAAAAATGAGAAGAAATACAGAACATACTGTAAACTCATTCACTCTATGTTTATTATGTTGTTATATTAAGCCTGAATCAAAAGCATAAATATAAACTTTTTATTTTTTTTTGATTTACCATTTGTAAAATACAGTCCCATATTCACTCAATTTTTTTTTGTTCTTATTTAAGCAAAAAAAACACAAAAAAAAAAAAAAAAAAAAAAAAAAACATTAATATTTTTTTTTCCCAAAAAATGGTTATTTTTTTAACATGCGATAAAAAAAAATGTATATACACAACATTGTAATAACAAATTTATGGAATTAAAATACTTATTAGGAGTTAGTTTTCCTCAAGAAAAGAAAAAAAAAGAAAAGCATTAGTTTTCATTTTTTTGGGCTACAGGGAATAACATGCACACGAAAGATTAAGTGAATAAAATGAAAAACTGTAAAGAAAAAGGAGAAAAAAATAATATAATTAAAAATAAAGATGGTAAAAAAAGAAATTTCAAAGTATGTAATAAAGGGGTAATGAATTTTTCCAATTGTAAAAAAGAAAAAAGAAAAGAAAAAGTTTTCTTAGATAAGAAAAATTTAAAAAAAAATGAAAGAAAGAAAGAAAGAAAAGAAAAAAAATAAAAAATTTTTAAAAAAACTAAAATAAAGAAAGAAAGAAAAAAGAAACAATAAAACATTTTTTGAAATAGTAAAAAGAAAACAAAAATGTTTAAAAATTAAAAAAACATAAAAATAACGTGGAAAGAAAGAAATATAAGAAAGAATTTCTTTGAAATAAAAAATATAAAAGAAATATATTAAAGAAAGAATAAAAAAAAAAAAGCTGGCAGTTTAATTAATTAAGAAATTATGAAAAAAGAAAACCAAAAAATTATAGAAAGAAATAAAATAAAAAAAAAGATAGAAAAAACAAAAAAAAATTGAAATAAACAAAAAAAAAAATAAACAAACAAAAAACGAAAAAAAAACAAAAAGACAAGGACTGTAAATTTCTTTGAAAAAATTAAATTATAATTATAAAAGAAATTTTAAAAAAAAAGAAATCAAGAAAAAAAATTTTTCAAAATAAAGAAAGAAACAAAAAAAAATTAAAAGTTGCGAAATAATTAAAAAAAAAAAAAAAAAGTCATTTTTGCTTAAAAAAAAACAAAAAAAAAAAAAAAAAACAATGAAAAAAGAAATAAAAAATGAAAAAAGGTTTTGGATTATAATTTGGCACCTTTTCTTGTTCAAAAAGCAATTCCAAATGTACAGAAAAAATTTTTGAAAAGAATTTTTATTTTTGCCTCAAAGAAAAGAAAATAAAGGGCATTATGTAATTAACAAAGAAAGAAAAGAAAGAAAAAAATCAGAAAAAAAATTTTGAAAGAAAAATAAAATTAAGAAAAAAAAAAATTCTGAATGATTTGAAAAAAGAAAGAAAAAAAAATACCAGTGTTTAATAAGAAAAAAATAAAGAAAAAAAAGTGATATGGAAAATTACTTTAAATTAAATGAAGAAAATTGTTAAAATCAGAAACAAAGAAAAATCAACTTCACAAAAAGTTGGCAGTATCAAATATAAAATAAAACATTTTTTGATTCTATTGCAATGGCATAGATAAATGAATAAAAAACATGCAAAACATAATTTTTTCTAAACTTGGAAAAATTTTCTAAGACTAGAGTAATTAAGAAAGAAAGTCAAAATTTTGTTTTAAAGAAAGAAAAGAAAAAGAAACATTGTAAAGATAGATTTCTGAAAGGAAGCAAGAAAAGAAAAAAAAAAATTTTTCGAATGTCAATATAATTAAGAAATGAAAATAAAATAAAGATAAAATAGATATTTGTAAAAAAGAGAGACAGACAGTACAGACAGAAACAAAAAATGAAAGAAAGGAAGAAAAAAAAATATGTAACAAAGTTTGTAAACTTTACCCTCGATGTAAAAATTGATTGTCCCAGAAAATGTTACATTGTCTAAAAGCAAATAAATAACGATAGAGATCTTTAATAGCTGGATGAAAAATAACTCTCACAACCCCAAATCGTAAAACAAATTTCTTATAACATATATTATTTCTCCATTTCTATTTCTCTCTCTCTCTCTCTATTCTTCTCTTATATTTATCTCATTCTCTTTCAAATAGAATAAAATTTATGTCAATATTTACAAATCTATTTGAAATATATGTATGTGCAAAATGAGGAGTATGTGTCATAAAGTTTAATAATAAAAAAATATTACAAGATAACAATTAGAAAACACAAAAAGGATTTTGCATGTAGAAGAAATGTAGATCGTATTAAAAAGAATGGTTTTCATTTTCATATATGGATCTACAAGCCTCAAGAGCCATACGTGAAAGAGCGCTGACAGATGAATCGACAAATTAAACTTTTTTTATACGATCATATATATATATAATTAAGTTACGAAGAACTTGGTAAACCGAATGGGTAATTCCAAGGAGGATTAAATCCTGAGAGCTCAATGTGAATACAGAGCTAATATTTTTCCTTTCATTTCGTTGTTGGAAGTGTTACCTGATGATCCGGAGTCCTTTAAAAAGGATTTTGGTGAAATAAATTATTGTAATGGTACCTTAAAGTGGTCTGTTTTTCATTATATATATATATATATATATATATATATATATATATATATATATATATATATATATTTAGGCAGCAATCCTTCATTTATGTATGTTTCATTAAAAACGACAATAAGGTACTATAATTAAAAATTTTATTCAATTTTTCTTGAGTTCGAACAGTGTGTAGAAACTGTCCAAATGTTTTATAATTCCGGGCGCTTTCGGCTATACATTTAGCCATTATCAAGGATGATTTTATTTTTTCAGTTTAATTGAGTGTGTAAGATGTGTGTATGCTTTTTAGTGTTATAGAGATATTTTATTTTCTGAACACAGTTAGCATATTGTGACCGTGTTCGTAGTTAATAGTATTAAGTGTTGGCTTTTTCTTTTTTTATTGTTAAGGCGTCCATTATTTTTAATGTTAATACATTGTATATTCCACACGTAAAAAAAAGAAAAGATTACAAAAAATGGAAGCCACAAATTGAAAAAAATAAAATAAAATCATCGTTGATCCTAAAAGTATAGCCGAAAGCGGCCGGAACTATAGAACATGTGGACAGCTTTTACACACATTGCGTTCAAAAACGAACGC